TTCACGACTCGTGGGTCACGTCATTCAACAGGTCGTATTAAATTTTGGGCACGATGCGGCCGGGGGTGCGTCCGTGGCGCGTGCTCATGTGCGCCATAGGGCTAGCATTAGAATCGGCAAAAACAGGTTATGGCTCGGGAACGGTAAGGGCTACGGGGGTGAAATTTTCACGCCAAGTCGATCGCGTGCACTCATTTGTCGTATTAAATTTTCGACGGTGTGGGTTCAGCGGTGTGCACGTGGTGGGGCCGCGGTCGGCGCCGAGCAAAACGCTCGTGCTTTAGGCTCAGTTGTTCGCTTAAAAACCTGAGTGAAAATAATCAGACAACGAAGGCCGACACAAGGCACCGCTCGCCAAGGGGATTCGCCAGTAATAAATACAATAAATTTGTTTTTGCAATATCTCAGCCGTTTCTGGGCCGATTTAGCTGAAACTTGGACTGTCGGTGGTAGTGTAGGGTAGTGTAGTGTAGGGTAGTGTAGGGGTAGGGGTAGGGTAGGGTAGGGTAGGGTAGGGTAGGGTAGGGTAGGGTAGGGGTAGGGTAGGGTATGGTAGGTTAGGGTAGGGTAGGGTAGGGTAGGGTAGGGTAGGGTAGGGTAGGGGTAGGGTAGGGTATGGTAGGTTAGGGTAGTGTAGTGTAGGGTAGGGTAGGGTAGGGTAGGGTAGGGTAGGGTAAGGTAGGGTAGGGTAGTAGGGTAGGGTAGGGTAGGGACTAGGGTAGGGTAGGGTAGGGTAGGGTAGGGTAGCGTAGGGTAGGGTAGAGTTAGGTAGGGTAGAATTAGGTAGGGTAGGGTATAGTAGGGTAGGTTAGGGTAGTAGGGTAGGGTATGGTAGGGTAGGGTAGGGTAGGGTAGAGTAGAGTAGGGTAGTAGGGTAGGGTAGGGTAGGGTAGGGTAGAGTAGGGTAGGGTAGTAAGGTAGGGTAGGGTAGAGTAGGGTAGTAGGGTAGGGTAGGGTGGGGTAGGGTAGGGTAGGGTAGTAGGGTAGGGTAGGGTAGGGTAGGGTAGGGGTATGGTAAAAGTAGGATAGGGTATGGATAGGGTAGGGGTAGGGTTGAGTTAAAAAGGGCCCAACATACAAAACACTTGAACACCCCGCAACTATCACCATCCCTTACAGTTCAATTAAAAACCGCTACCCAAATCTACCCAAATAATACAGCTAAAAATACAAGTCAATCACCCAAACTAATGCACCCGTAACATTATATAAATCAAAACATACAGTTATCGCGTAAACCTGTACCTCTAGTCTACTATTATAAATCTTAAAAAGTCCGCCCACGCCGCCCACGCCGCCGTCGGGGTTACGCAGTCGGTGTTACTCCCAAAAACGCTTATTGCGGCGCCGTCGATTGACGCAGGAGGGTGAAATTTTCACGACTCGTGGGTCACGTAATTCAACAGGTCGTATTAAATTTTGGGCACGATGCGGCCAGGGGTGCACCCGTGGCGCGTGCTCATGTGCGCCATAGGGTTAGCATTAGAATCGCGACCGGCGCCGAGCAGAGGGCACGTGCTTTAGGCTCAGTTGTTCGCTTAAAAAACTGAGTGAAAAGCATCAGAGCCGGCAGGTCGTTGACCTTTGACAACGAAGGCCGACACAGGGCACCGCTCGCCAAGGGGATTCGCCAGTAAATACAATTAATTTGTTTTTGCAATATCTCAGCCGTTTCTGGGCCGATTTAGCTGAAACTTGAACTGTCGGTGGCAGTGTAGGGTAGGGTAGGGTAGGGTATACGGTAGGGTAGGGTAGTGTAGGGTAGGAGTAGGGGTAGGGTAGGAGTAGGGTAGGGTAGGTTAGGGTAGGGTAGGGTAGGGTAGGGGTAGGGTAGGGTAGGGTAGGGGTAGGGTAGGGTATGGTAGGTTAGGGTAGTGTAGGGTAGGGTAGGATAGGGTAAGGGTAGGGTAGGGTAGGGTAGTGTAGGGTAGGGTAGGGTAGGGTAAGGTAGGGTAGGGTAGGGTAGTAGGGTAGGGTCGGGTAGGGTAGGGTAGTAGGGTAGGGTAGGGAAGGGTAGGGTAGGGTAGGGTAGGGTAGGGTAGGGTAGGGTAGGGAAGGGTAGGGTAGGGTAGGGTAGTGTAGGGTTAGGGTAGGGTAGTGTAGTGTAGGGTAGGGTAGGGTAAGGTAGGGTAGTGTAGGGGTATGGTAGGGTAGGGTAGGGTAGGGTAGGGTAGGGGTAGGGTAGGGTAGGGTAGGTTAGGGTTAGGGTAGGGTAGGGTAGGGGTAGGGTAGGGTAGTGTAGGGTAGGGTAGGGTAGGGTAGGGTAGGGTAGGGGTAGGGTTAAGTTCAAAAAGGGCCTAACATACAAAACACTTGAACATCCCGTACATATCACCAACCCTTACAGTTTAATTAAAAACAGCTACCCAAATCAATCCAAATAATACATCTAAAAATACAAGTCAATCACCCAAACTAATGCACCCGTAACATAACATAAATCAAAACATACAGTTATCGCGTAAACCTGTACCTCTAGTCTATATTATAAATCCTAAAAAGTCCGCCGCCCACGCCGTCGGGGTTACTCCCTAAAAGGCTTATTGCGGCGCCGTCGATTGACGCACAAGGGTGAAATTTTTACCAGTTGTGGGTCACGTAATAAAACAGGTCGTATTAAATTTTGGGCACGATGCGGCTAGGGGTGCGCCCGTGGCGCGTGCTCATGTGCGCCATAGGGCTAGCATTAGAATCGGCAAAAACAGGCTATTGCTCGGGAACGGTAAGGGCTACGGAGGTGAAATTTTCACGCCAAGTCGAGCCCGTGCATTCATTTGTCGTATTACATTTTCGAGGGTGTGGGTTCAGCGGTGTGCACGTGGTGGGGCCGCGACCGGCGCCGAACAGAGGGCACGTGCTTTAGGCTCAGTTGTTCGCTTAAAAACTGAGTCAAAAGCATCAGAGCCGGGAGGTCGTTGACCTTTGTCAACGAAGGCCGACACAAGGCACCGCTCGCCAAGGGGATTCGCCAGTAAAATACAATTAATTTGAGAGCACATTTTGATCGTAGAGCACATTTTGATCGCATGCACGGCATTGCATCACGAACGAAGACACATCACTAACTATCTTGCGGTACAACACCTTAAAAACGACCTCCCGACCCTTCTCGGAGACGACACAACATTGACAAACCTGGTACTTGATTTCGTCCTAACATCACCCTACTCAGAGCTACTTTAACGGCCTTGACTTTGAGTTAGCAGGCACCCGTCTCGCTACCACCAGGCTGACTTGTGATACGGGATGGCCGATGGGTCGAGTTTTTTCGCTGGTACCGAAACACAGAGCTTCGATGGCAGACGGGTTTTCTCCAGCCGCGGGAGCAGGCTTAGAGGCTCAGCGGCCCAGCGAGCTACACCAGCGGACCCCGGCCGCTGAACAGCGGCGGCGGCCGGGTTGAACGACCACAGACAACCGTCGGCCGCCAACTGCAGCAGCGACAAATTCCCTATCCTCCAAACCATTCCTTTCATCGTGACGCTTAAACATTCACAAACCCATTCCTCCCAGCGACCTATCCCCCACTCTTCAAACCATTCCTGTCATCCAACTCTCGTCGTAACCTTACCATTCACAAACTTCCTCCTTCCCTCCTTTCACAAACATCAATTTACCGGTAAGTTTCACTGTCATTTATGCGTCTTAACGTAAATTCATGGGTTTTTCCCCATATTCATGGCATAGTACATGGATATGGGTTTTCCCATGTTGTCTTGCTGTAAAAGTGGCCACCGGTCTTAGTTAGGACGGCCGGTTTGTTTTGCGCGGCGTAGTTAGGTCGCCGCCCTCCTCGCGAGGCCGGTAACGTAAATTAGGGCCACTAAAAAAAAAATAATTTGTTTTTGCAATATCTCAGCCGTTTCTGGGCCGATTTAGCTGAAACTTGGACTGTCGGTGGCAGTGTAGGGTAGGGTAGGGTAGGGTAGGGTAGGTAGGGTAGGGTAGGGGTAGGGTAGGGTAGGGTAGGGTAGTATAGTGTAGTGTAGTGTAGGGTAGGGTAGGGTAGGGTAGGGTAGGGTAGGGTAGGGTAGGGTAAGGTTAGGGTAGGGTAGGGTAGGGTAGTGTAAGGGTAGGGTAGGGTAGGGTAGGGTGGGGTAGTGTAGGGTAGGGTAGGGTAGGGTAGGGTAGGGTAGGATAGGTTAGGGTAGGGTAGGGTAAGGTTAGGGTAGGGTAGGGTAGGGTAGTGTAAGGGTAGGGTAGGGTAGGGTAGGGTGGGGTAGTGTAGGGTAGGGTAGGGTAGGGTAGGGTAGGGTAGTGTAAGGGTAGGGTAGGGTAGGGTAGGGTAGGGTAGTGTAGGGGTAGGGTAGGGTAGGGTATGGTAGTGTAGGTAGGGGTAGGGTAGGGTAGGGTATGGTAGTGTAGGTAGGGGTAGGGTAGGGTAGGGTAGTGTAGGGGTAGGGTAGGGTAGGGTAGTGTAGGGGTAGGGTAGGGTAGGGTAGGGTAGGGTAGGGTAGGGTAGGGTAGGGTAGGGTAGGGTAGGGTAGAGTTAGGTAGGGTAGTAGGTAGGTTAGGGTAGTAGGGTAGCGTAGGGTAGTAGGGTAGGGTAATAGGGTAGGGTAGGGTAGGGTAGTAGGGTAGGGTAGGGTAGGATAGGGTAGGGGTAGGGTAGGGGTAGGGTAGGGGTAGGGTTGAGTTCAAAAAGGGCCCAACATACAAAACACTTGAACACCCCGCAACTATCACCATCCCTTACAGTTTTAAAAACAGCTACCCAAATCTACCCAAACAATATATAGCTAAAATACAGGTCAATCACCCAAAACTAATGCACCCGTAACATAACATAAATCAAAACATACAGTTATCGCGTAAACCTGTACCTCTAGTTTTCTTAGATTGAGGTCTTGTCAAGTGACCTGATCTTATACGTTCCAAAGCTGAAATTTTTGCATATGTGGAAAACATGCATCCCGGGTGGACTAAAAACGGCGGCAGCTGAATCATTTTTATCCCTCTCATGCCCTGTTCGCAATCGATGGGTGTTTCCTCTCGCCCACATGCTCCATCGGGTCCGAGTCCGGCACGGAGATCTCCACCACCCGGCGACTGTGGTCGCGCGGGTCAACGGTGCGGTGCAGCTGGAACAGAGGACCTCCGCGCAGCCGGTGCAGTTGCTCCAGCAGCTCCGTCAGCTGCTGCGGCTGAGCCGCCCAGCTGGCGGTGCTCCTGAACCCACCCAGCACGTGCTCCAGAATGTGATCAGCTGCCGAGCGAAAGAGAAAGAAAATAGACGGTTGGCAGTTGGGCATGAGAAAAAAAATTAGAACAACAAGCAAAAGAGCGAAAAATCTGAAGTCATACAAAGGGCAGGCTTTAACAGATAGAGAAAGGGAGAAAGAGGTAGTGAGGGATCCGTTTCACAGCTCGCGAAACTCTGAAGGTAACGGTAAAGAATATCGACATTCAGCGGCTGCAGATCTGAAAATTGATGATGCGTGAAGACTGGATCTGTACTGACCTGCTGCTTCCAGGTCAGATCGTCTGGCTGGAAGATGTTCTTTGCACGAGACGAAAAAGTCCTTCGTGTGCTGGAATCCTTCAACTGTTTCTTCAGTTCGTGATGAAAGAAGCTCTGCAAAGCAAGTTTTTTTTCGGATAAGTCAAATGCACTTCGTAATAAGGTTACAAGTTTGCCGGTATGATTCAGTTTGGGCTATTTTAGTTCAAATATGCTATCCAGCTGTTGCAGAATATGGCACTCCCTCAGCAAAACGAGTAACTACTGTGTCGAAATAATGCCACATTTTTGTTCCTTCAGATAGGGGGAAAATATGAGTATCTCTTCCATTTTGTTGATATATGTGTCAAAGCATATAGCAATATAGCATACATATGTAGTAAGCGTATAGCTAGCTGTAGAATATACATATCAGCTATAGAAGGCTGATAATTTTCTAATGCGACGGATTCAATGACACAATGAGATGATAAAACTGTTTTCGATATAGGTAGCTAGCTTTTGGCTGAATAGAACATCTCTTCCATCGTTAATGGTTTGTCCAGCAGAACCTTTGGTGGATGTCTGACTACTCAATTATGATATATAATATAATGATCCTGGAATAAAACAGAAATAAGACTACTCGTATTTTACATATGGCGCTTCTTTGAGTGATACCAAGCAAGTGCTTGGTCCCACCTGTATCATACCCAACAAGCATGGCCGACTTAGCCAATCATACAGACCCACGTCATCCTTTTGTCGCCTGGGATCCTCTCTCATTAGTGGGACACTCCTTTGAGGTCGAGCTCAATGTATCTCAGTGTTTGTCGGCTGGTGACTAGAGATTGCAATCCCGGAACGTTTTGCCAATCCCGGGATCCCGAAAGTTTTTATTTCGGGATCCCGGGATCCCGGGATCCCGGTTTTGTCACCATAGGTCGTAAATGATTTCCTACTGACAGATTTTGCGTCTTTTAGCTTACCACAAACAAAGAGGCAACCAAAAGTCATCCTTAGCCCATGTCCATTGCATTAAAAACGATTGAATTTGTGAAGAAAGCGTTTCAATTTCACTAGCATTTATTCCCAACTGGCCTTGATAAACTGTGCATCGACCAGTGCGTTTACTGTCTCGCCATTGAGACAGGTTCCGACACCTATACGCCTCATTTACTCTGCGTCTACGATAGTTGGCATGACAGTTTTAAGCCATTGCTGGTAAGTCTGTCTATTGTAAAACTCGCGATCAGTGTAAGCCAAATTTGGCAGCTCCCTATTTCACAATATTTTCACGACGTCGCTTGGTCACTTCACCTCCTTCCGGTTCCGCTTTTATCACTAATTTCTCTCAGACTATGCTCCAAAGTCGCTTTGAGGGCAAAGTCACTGACAGGGAGAGCTCCACTCTGCCGTACTCAACGTCTGAATCAGTGAGCTCTGCCGTCACTTGCGTGACATCTATGTATGACATCTTTCTGCGACACGAGCTCAACGACTGCCTTGATGGCCTCTTTTCTTCAGGCCACGGACGGACAAGTCGGATCCGCTGAACGATCCGTGATCCTGATAAAGATGCTGCAGCACTGATGCTGCAATTTTTTGGCGTTCTGGTCCGGGGACCCTTTTTCGTACGTATTTAAGAGGCTTAACCACTGTGAGTGATCCCCAGGAGCTACCAACACGGTCGATTGTGGACGGCCGAGACAGGGTGCCAGCTTAATAGTTTCTCTGCTTTATGTCACGCAGTACTATGAGCAGTTTGAACATGACTGGTGCAGCGGCTGCATTCATTTTTTGGTGAAAAACATACTTTTTCGGGATCCCGGGATTGGCGAAATTTCGGGATCGGGATCGGGATTGAAATCCCGCCGGGATCCCGGGATCCCGATCCCGGGATTGCAATCTCTACTGGTGACATTGTCTGGCTCGGTTAGTGTCGCGGGCCGGACACACCACCGGGTATTGTGTCGCGGCCTCGTGTGAGCGCCACCGGTTGTGTCTGTGACCGGAGACATGTGTGTCCCGCCGGCCGGTCGTGGGATGCCAACGGCTGGGGACCGGGAGCATCAGGTCTGGTTCCTGCACAGCAGCGCCCGACTAATGCATTCTGAGTGCAGTGCCCGGTGGTGCCTTGATCGTAATTGAACGGGATGGCCGAGAGATCGTGTTTCGTTCTTCGATCTTGGAATGTTTTTCAGAGATCTCGTCTTGTAGAGACAGAAACATTGAATCTGTATTTGTGAGCACGTACCTATGTGTCATTTTTTTTAGATAAAGTGCCTTATATTAAAGGTATTTTTGATGTATGATGTCCTTCGGGCTCATATCACCCCAAACACAGAGTGGGTCATCGATGTGCCTTTTGGATTCCGAAGCTCTCCGCTGCACCGGTGCAAACATAAATACATATGTACCTACATACATGCAGATGCAATGCACCAACAGTCATGCAAAAACATTATGTGGTGCCCTTCTCATTTTAATGTAAATGCATTCATACGTCGAAGAGATCAGCAGCAATCTCACCCATGTCAGCAATGACGACTTTGCTTATACAGCCTTGAAAATAAGCAAACATGTTTAAAACCATATTTCCCGTCATCTGCCACCGGTAAAACACCCTATAACTTACGCGTCAGTTTCCAGTCTATCACTGCTTGCGGCTGGTCGATGTTGATGCTGTAGTCAGCCTCCGCGTCAGCCAGGCCCAGCTGGGACATTCGCTGCTGCCACCCGCCGCAGGCGTGCCGGAAGAAGTCGTCGCACGGAGACACGGTGGGATCCCGGGCGCGCTGCAAGTGTGCGGCCACTGACACGCAGCCCGGGGTCACGCAGAGGTCACCCTGAAACTGAAAGAGCATGGGTCACACTCGGGTCAGGTGGTCACAGCTGATATGATCAATGATCCTGTTTTGAAAACAATGTCGGGATGCTCGTTTGCCATTATTACTGCCATCTTTTATCGTGATCACTAAGTTGATCATAAAAGTTTGGAGGTATTTGTCAAGCACAAGATGAACGATCAAAAAGACGTTTAAAAGCCCGTAGTACCTGCAGTTATTTAACATGTCACGATAAAATACATTGCCAATATGCTTTCAGGGAACGATTATTGGCTTCCTTTGCTGCAGGATTAATCTGTAAGGCCATAATTGAGGGTACAGAAGGTTCTTTGCGACGAAAGTTCAATACAAATCAGCAATGTTATTGCCATATATTTGCCATAGCTGGACATTTTAATTATCGTTCATCTAACATCTTTCTTTGATTTATTCTTTCTTTGCATTATATGATTCATTAAACTCAACAAATGGTTCATACACTCAAGATCTGTATATGGCAATTTGGCTGATGGTCACGACATATGCAATTAGTCTCCACTGCTTTTCCTGACTCATACGCGCCCCAACCATCTCATCTCTCCGTCGAGCGTATATGGAATGGCCGCCAAATTCCGGGCCGAAACGACGCGTCGTTAGGCGCTGACGCTATCCGTCCTGCCCACTTGTCAACTGCGCGTCCGGGCCAACGCTGTCCCGGCTCTGTCGTCGCTCATGGCCTTGGCCTAACCGTTTCCATTTGATTTAGAGCCCGGTTCGGCGCACAGCGTCTCGACATTATGGCTTCGAAAGCCAACTAGAGGACCGCCGTCGACTGACATTTGCCGGTATAACTAGACGGGGTCCCGCCGAACGTGGGCCTAACTCGACAGGGTACGGTGGTTCCACGTTTGGATGTGACGCAGTGGGCTGACTTCTGGTTGCGTCAGTATGAATTTGGTGGCGGGAGCGCCGCTGTGTGACGGAGCGCCTCACTGAAGGTATTTCGTTTTCCAGTTTAGACTGGGTAGGTATGTTTGCCAAGTGTGATTGAAGCGAGGGTTGCACGTGGCACAAGCAGCGGGTCCTGCACTGACATTTAACGGTAGTTGGTTGAGGAATGACGGTTGAACCTTATGAAGTTAAATACGAGATGAATACATAATTCATCGGTTGGGTGAGTGAATGCATTTTCAGGCAGTTTCTATTGGGTGACTTGTGGGTTATGTGCATGAACCCAATGAACTATTCGAGCATTGGATTGAGAGAAAGCCATGTTTTAGGAACGGTCCGAAATGCCGACATCGCTGTGAGCGTTCCATCTCCTTAGTTCTCCGTTTGTTCTCGGCATAGTGAAATGTGATTGATGGTGACAGCTCATTTTCCCTGCATAAATTACCATCTGGATACGCATTGTCCGTTTGCAGCTCAGATCATCATTCATAAACATGCTTTTGGAAGCAGTTTTTTATGCACATGTCGGATACATAAAGGCCATATCAATGAGCCCAGCAACAAACAATGGTTGCCGGTGCGCTGAACTTTACTCAGATCTGGTGGCTCAGCGGTCATGATTGATTAAGGTGTTTTCGCCCGTCTGGGTTAAGTCCGTGGTATATCACTTCAACCCAAACAATGACGAAACATGCGCGGGCTCTGCGATCGAGAGCGGCTGTGCCAGACCGCCGACATTGCGGCATGTGTCCCTAAGGACCAGACAGTAAACTCATGATGACTTATCGCGGGACGGACTGCCCCCAAACAGTTTACCGTTCCGACATTGCAGACGGGAGCAATAGCGTCTCCGGCGCCAGACAGCTTCTGAACCAACGACCGACGACGGTATCTCGCCACACTCGGGGCCATTTCCTGTCATCGTAAATCGACCCAATTAAGCTTAAGCGAGCTGAAAAAAAATGTTCCGAGTATGCATTTAACACACATGAGTTTTGTTGGTTTTGGAACGAGAAAATAGAGCCTATATGCTGCGGGTGTTGCGGAGAATGATCGTTGGGTTCAGGTAGCCACTTTTCAGATCTTTTGGTTCACTGAAGCCAACAAAAGTCAGACTTTTTCACGCAATTAAACGAGACCATGGAAACACATGAGTATGAAAGCTTAAATATCTTTCGGGTAATCCGTATCCGAACAATCCTGGCCACAACGAGCCACAGCTCTATGTACTTTTAAAGTTAATACCAGAGTAGGTCGGCTTTATCACTCGTAAACTCAACATCGGCCTTGATAACCCTCGGAGCGGTCGAACATCGATTCGACCCCCTCACCCCAGTGGCGCCGGCACGGTTAGGGTCGCCATGGGCGGACACCATGGACCAGTGAAATAATCATTACCTACTGAAATAGCATATATTGAGAAGCGAATAATATTGCACTCAAAAAATTTCAATAGGTGACCTAAAATGAGTACTTAACAGGGAGAAGTGAGAACCATTGAATGACTGATGTATTTATAGATGGTACCGGTTCTTTGGATTCGTGGCTTACGAAATTCTAGGCTCAATATAATGCGACAACGGGGTAAATCTCACTCACTCTCAAGTCTGTAGCGCGGGTTAAAATGCTGAAAACTTATATCATGATACTGAAAAAAGATTATTGGTCGGAGATCTATTTGTAGCGTGACCTCATGACCACATCTATCACTAGCCTTTTCCATATCACTCTATCTTCTTCCCCGAGGCCATGCGTTGGCCAGGGGGCCAGCAGAACCATCCTGTGACATCACCTCATTGGCTCTCGTCCAATCACAGGCTCAGCCGAATCAGCTGAGCGGAGGTCGACTGGCGCCAGCAATTACTCCCCCATGTGGCAAGGGGCGTGGACGGTCGAACTCGCCCCCGGACTGACCCCATTGCCATATGCAATTATCAATTATACACCTGACTTAACGGCACGGTGGATGGTTGCTCCTGCCGTAATGGGGGGGGGGGAGGGGGGGGAGAGGAGAAAATTGCTCAGAAAGGGCAAAAGAGATTATCGAAGGAGTGAGGAGATGTATTAGCTAATAGCTATAAAAGAGATCAACATGTTTAGAAAACAGGATTATAAAGAGAGCAACAAAGCTGCATTTATCATGCCTTTTATTTTCATGCCTAATACAAACTGAGTGAATACAAATAGGCACGTAAGTTAGATCCAAAGTCATTATTCAGTTTTTTGCCGGACATTTGACACTTCAAAATATGAAAGAAAACTACTGTGTCGGCTGGCAACTCATTATATAACAACTGTATATAAATGCAGCGTCTGACGTCATGCATTCCTTATCATAACATCAGTGTTAACAAGTGACGCTATGAAGTCTCTTCTAAGCACATCTTGGATGAGAACTGCGCCACTCTGCTGGTTTACAGCAGCAATTTTGTCGCTCGGCGACTAACTTTAACAGCTACAACGCAGTGACAACGTGCTTGAGAACTGATTGTGATTTGAATAGCTTCAAGATAGCGACGTCATATAGGCATAACAAGATGATACAGGATACATCCATCGTGAAATGAGATCACAAGCGTCAGACGTGAGCAATAAGCGATATTGGGCGCGGAATTTCCCACATTAGCTTGCAGTGAAGCACCCGATGATTGATAGTCATAGACCGAATGGCGGTCTGGTCATATACACAGGACTCATTGAAGGGTGTGTTACCTGCTGAGTGAGAGATCTCTCGTCAGAACAGGCTGTACAATCATAATTACCATCGGCGCTGCATGGAGATGGGTGCGGCAAATGATCGATCGGCCTCCCACGCGCCATCGAGTGCAGCTGCACTGAATTCACACTCGGACCGGGTGTGTGGTGAGAAGCAGAGGGTTGGGTACATCAATGTATGGAGTATATAGCGGCAGACTCTTCGGTCCTTCCCTTTATCGGCATTTGTGTGAGTTCTTTTACTCTCACCGTTCCGTTTCTATCCTCAGGATACTGAAATCCTTCTCCTCCACGCCGCAACCCCCCTCCGGGCTGGACAGGCAACTTTATCTCATGCGGGCTGCTCCCTTGGAGCGGCACCGCTGCTCCCGAGGGAGCGCACCCCGTAGCCGGGTGCAGTGAGTGCCTTGGGGCTGGGTGGCCTGTCCTCTGGACGGGCTCAGCCCCGGCGACTCACTAGGGTGCCTGCCCAGACCAATGTCTCCCCCTATATCCTATCATCCTCCCGGCTCTGAAATGGTCTCATTGGACCGAAAGGGCCTAACCCAACAAAAAAAATATTTTACTCGAAACGCTGGAATTAGAGGTGTGTGCCTGTGAAAATAGTAAGAAAATCTTCAGCTATTGATGAAAAGTGCAGATCATAATGAAGCGCTAAGAAGTTGGTATTTGGTAACACTCATTAGCTCATGGGGTCACTAACTCATGGGGTAAGCTGAAGTATTTAGATTTTTCTGTACAGTTCGTGTCTTAGTGTCCAAAGAAATGAGGGACGAAAGTTAAATCTTAAAAGTAAAGCTGGGTAGCTGATAGAACACAAAACCTTACTCAAAATCCTTCCAATCCTCCCATTCCACGGTTCCAATTTATGTGCAGTCAAGCCAAACAGTTCATCTCAGATGACATTGTATAATGCATACCTATGCTTGTATGCAGGAGTTTTGTGCATAATTCTGCATTCATCTGCGTATCATAACTGAACTGCGTCTGGCGGCTGCAGCACTACTGCTCAAACGAACCTCGTTTCCTCATCAGCTGTTTGTCAAAGGAAAACACGGGACAACGACTCCCACTTCCCGTTAAAAGCATCCGACCGCGGCCATGTTTGTCACACGGCAATACTCCCGTGGGTGGGAGCCTGACCTCTCCCCTCGCCCGTCCCCAGAACGGGCTGTGACCCCTTAGGATAGGGCCAGGTCAGGTGGTGATGACCTTGGCGGTTCTGCCGCTTCGCTGCCACCCCGGACCGCCCGGGGGTAAATATTTCGGCAGCCACACATGGCCCCCTGCCAGAATCTATGACGTCAGAGAACGGCGACGAGCCGTGGAATGGGAATAAGGCGGATGAACGCCTAGATTCA